TCCACACAAATTAAAGAGAAACTATCTCAAATTTTAAGTTTTAGAGAGAGAAAATATTTTAATTTTTTTCGACCAATGTTCAATAATTTTATTGATAAATTATCTAAATAAAGTATCTTAAAATTTTAAAAAGAGAAACTATATCAAATTTTAGAGAGAAACTACAAAAAAATATAGAGATAGAAACTATCTCAAATTTTTTAGAGAGAGAAACTATATTAAATTTTAAGTTTTAGAGGGAAAAAATATCTTAAAATTTTAGAGCAAGAAACATATCAAATTTTAGATAGATAATTTACCTAAAAACTTTAGAGAGAGAACCCTTATCAAAAATTTGAGAGAGAAAAATTATATCAAATTATAAATTTAGATGAATAAAATATCTTAAAATTTTAAAGACATAAAATATATCAAATTCTAGAGAGAAACTACCTTAACTTTCTAGAGAGAAACTATTTCAAGAATTCTAAAAAGCAGAACCATTTCCAATTTGAATTTTTAGGGAGCGAAAGTATCTTAAAACTTTAGAGAGCAACTAATCAAATTTGAGAGAGATAAATTACTTGAAATTTTTTAGAGAGAGAGAAACTTTCACAAAATTTTTTAGAGAGAGAAAATAACTTAAAATTTAGAGAGAGCAATTAATCAAATTTGAGGGAGAGAAATTACTTGAAATTTTTTAGAGAGAAAATTTTTTTAGAGAGAGAAAGTATCTCAAATTTTAAGTTTTAGATAGGGAAAGTATCTCAAAATTTAAAAGAGAGAAACTGTATCAAGTTTTAGAGAGAGAAACTATCCAAAATTTTTAGAAAGAGAATATCTTAAAATTTTAGAACAAGAAATTTTCTAAAAAATTTTTAGAAAGAAAAAGTATCTCAAATTTCAAGTTTTAAAGAGTATTGTAAAATTTTAGAGAGTGAAACTATATCACATTTTAGAGAGAGAAACTACCTGAAAATTTTTAGAGAGAAAAATATCTGAAAATTTTTAGTGAAAAAAACTATATCAAAATTTCAAGTTTTAGAAAGAGAAAGTATCTTAAAATTTTAGAGATAGAAACTATATCAAATTTTAGAGAGAGAGATACTATCTAAAAAAATTTAGAGAGAGAAACTATCTCATAAAATTTAGAGAGAAAAACTCTCTTAAATTTCAAGTTCTAGAGAAAGAAAATATCTTAAACTTTTAGAAACAGAAAATACCTAAATTTTTATAGAGAGGTACTATCTCAAAATTTTTAATGAGAAATTTTCTCAATTTTAAGCTTTAGAGAGATAGAGTATCTTAAAAGTTTAGAGATAGAAACTATATCAAAATTTAGAGAGATAAACTACCTATATTTTTTTAGAAAGTAACTACCTTAAATTTTTTGGAGAGAAACTATATGCAATTTTTTGTTTTAGCGAGAGAAAGTACATAAAATTTTAGAGAGAGAAACAACTTGAAACTTTTTAGAGAGAGAACTATCTCAAAAAGTTTAGAGAGAGAAATTATATCAAATTTCAAGTTTTAGAGATAAAGTATTTTAAAACTTTAGAAAGTGAAACTATATCAAGTTCTAGAGAGAGAAATTACCTAAAAAAATTTGGAGAGAGAAACTTTCTTAAATTTTAAATTTTAGAGAGGGAAAGTATCTTAAAGTTCAGTGAGAGAAAGAAGCTACTTGAAAATTTTGAGATATAAACTATCTCAAAAATTTTGGAGAGCGAAATTTTCAACTATTTGAATTTTCAAATTTGTAGAGAGAGAAACTAAATATTTGGAGAGAAACTACATCGAATTTAAATTTTTAGACAATTTTCTCTCTAAAAATGTTGAGATAGTTTCTCTCTCTAAAAATTTTTAGGTAGTTTCTCTCTCTAAAATTTGATATAGTTTCTCTCTCTAAAATTTTGACAAGATTTTTTATAATGAGAAATTTTTTAATATGTATTGTTGCATACCAAATATGGGCAATATAATATTTACATAAAAATATTTTGCACGAAAATATTTCAAACCTACCAAATATGTCCTAAATAGTGTAAACTTAAGTTACGCAAATAGATGACCCAAACAACGGATTTGCATAACCCGGGTATTATCTACAAGCTATCCAAACAGTCATTTCTCAATAAGTAGGTTGGCATAACCAGGTTTACATAACTATGTTATGATCCAAATCATGGTTTTATTTACCCTAGGATCCAAATGAGGCCTTAAGGTTGTTGCATCATATTATTATACAACCGTTGCATGAAATCATTGCACATGCATACACACACATACACATAGAGTAATGATTCTATGAGACCCTCCCACATCTATGTATGTAGAATATTAAAGGATCACCATTAAATTTGGCATAGATCTCTAGAAAGGTTAAGTCATACACCCATGTGATAACTTTTCTAGAGATCTGTACCAAATTTAATTGTGATCCTTTGGGGTTCTACACACATGGGTGT